GACACATCCTTCAATTTTGGCCCCGAAAAATTACAAAGGATTCTGTGATGGGTCTTTTTTACCCCTAAATGACCTGCAAGTTTATCATGGGAAATGTGTAATACCAGTGAGCGATACTTCTCTGGAACTACCACCTGCATGGTAGGATCCCCAGCAAAATTACTACCATGAGGAATAAATTTTCTCACCAACATTCCATCCTGCAAAAAAATAACCATGAGCAACATTTCTAATTTCATCAGAAGACATCACACTCTCAAACAATTGATGGAGAGAAGAATCAAGTTGCTGCTCCTGGAGAATCTGAAAAGTCATCAGGCAAGGAGAATGGTTTAACTACAGCAGAATCAGGGGTTACCCTTGGCTGCGCAGAGGTCATGGAACGAGTTACCGCACATGCAGTAAACACTTCCGGATAATACTTGTGACTCTAGTCAGGACCTGAAAGAGGAACAGATTTTTCCTCAGACAGGCAGGAACAGACAGGAGGTGAAAAGGTTTCAGGCCACACCCTACGCCCTGCCAAATTATTCCCCATGATTATATCCACCCCATCCACGGGCAGTGATGGACGTACTCCAATCACCACTTCACCACTCACAAGCTCAGATGACAACGTTACTCTGTGTAAAGGAACAGACACCACATCCAACCCAATTCCTCTAACAAGAACACTAGTACCAGTGTCACTCAAAAATGAAAATGGCAACACATCCTCCAATATAAAAGATTCCGAAGCTCCCGAATCTCTTAAAATTGTTACTGGAATTTTTATCTCTGTACCAATCATCGACACATGTCCGTAGGTGATAAAAGGTGCATAATCACCATTTCCTAAAAGATTACCCAGTTTTGGAAATCCTTCCCACAATAATTTAACAGGACTTAACACGGGCGCCACAAGAGCAGCTGGTTTAACGCGAGGAGACTTTCCTCCTTTACTCTTGGCTTTAAGCACAGGGCACTCACTGGTACAAGAAAAGCAACCAGCACGCTGGCGACTATCTCAAGGTCAAGGTCAAGGTAAACTGTATTATCCACAAGTAGGAAATTCATGTGGTCACCATTACACGCTCCACTGTTAAAAAACCTGCTGCATACAAATAAAAACATAGATACAAAAGCATTAAATACAAAAGCATTAAAACATTTAAACATTAACCCCTTAGCTGTCACCCCCCTTTTTGAGAATGGGGGTTAAAATGCACTATTCAAACTTAAATGGTTGTAATTCAAGAATGCTTTGGAATATATCCAAGTTTGGTCTTGTTTTAAAGAAAACACTCAGCAGATTATTGCTGAAGTGAGAACACTTCAAAAAATTTAAGTATGAAAAAGTTATGGAAGTTTAAATTTACAGTAAATCAAATATACTGTACTATATATTTTTTATTTTATATAATATATATTTTACAAAATATTTTTTAGTCTAAAATTACTATAAAATCAAAGCCATAAATCTAACCAAGTTATGTTCCAAATTTGAAGTTGATATCACAAAAATTGAAGTTCCCATGAGATTTTGTTTAGGCGGCGTAGTACCAAAAATAGCCACCGGGTGCCATTGAATTCCATTGAATTTAGTTGTATACATTCTGCCTTAACAAATTAATACATTTCTGTCCAAATATCAATTCTGTCACAAAATTTGGAACCTTGAGACACAGACCTTTCTGACAATATGTGTTTTGTCAAGATTAGAAAAGGTTTTGATCATAAATTATTAAATATAATGATGCCTAAAAGGGGAGGAGCCTGATAAAATAATTTAGAGTACCGTTTCTATGGTAACGCAACGTTCAATTATAAAACGGTTTTCACAGGATGAATTCTGAGTTTATAAGCTTTCAAATGATACCTAATTTATGATAACTACTAAAATATGTGATATAATAAAAAAGGCGATAAAAAAGATAATATTATATTTTAGAGGATAATATTATAATTTTTAGAGGATAATATTATATTATAATTTTTTATTGAAAAATACTAGATTATATGTTTTATTATGAACTTTTAGCATAAAAACAGAAGTTTCAATGATTAAAAGTGGGTGCATCGACTTTTTGTGACAAAGGTCAGACCTCCTGTTATGATGCAGATTTTTTGAGGTGCACTCTTGTCATAAATTCGTCAATTACTCTCACTACATAATTTGTAACACAAAACAGGGGTAGAATATCTATTTATAAGTCTTTGACCTTTCCAACGATATATAATTTGTCATAATTAGATTAGGATTTAATAGAAATATAGTGAAGTAAAGTTAGGCATCCCGGTAGCGGGACGGTGACAGTTAAGGGGTTAAAACATAAGAAAAACACAGACAAGACGGACAAAACAACAAACATTATAGAAACATGACAAGCATGTGTGAATACATAAACTAGCTAAATGCTAGCTGATTGTTGTACAGGCTAATTAATGTAGGCACAAAAGAATTGCTGTACCTTGTGGTCCTAATTTTCCTTTGCAGTAGTCTACCACTTGACCTGTTACTTCTTAAGAAATTCTGATGAAGAGGGTGGGTTGAATAATTTATAATTTGTTCTATCTTTTTAAGACTAAGGTCATTGTACAATTGGGCTACAGATACTTGATCAACTCCAAATGATATCTCATACCACGGCCATGCTCCCGAGACGACTGCTCTACTCACGATCACCACTCAAAAATTCAACATGACATCATGACTTTGTGTAAACATACACGCCACTTTCAAGTCAAATGTACACGCCGTTAAATGTCCGAGCGAAACAAAGCAAAATGTAGATCTACATCTGGGGAGCGAGATTTTTTTTCCTAGGATGGTAGGCGAAGACTCATAAATGGTATTAACCCCAGTGACGGGTAGGTTTAGGGACAGGGTTGGGGTAGGTCATATATTTATACATAATATAACGTTAAGTCAACGGCGTTGATAAACACGCTGAAAAGCGATTATGCGTGTTGATAGCACGCCAAAAATGCAAATACGAATTGGCGTGTCATACATAAGCCATTTCATGAGATCAGTCTGCAAAAATTACATTACCTACTTGTTCCAAAAGGGACCAAGCAGCTACACCTAACAAGGGAACATCAACAATATTCTCCCCACGATAAGATTTGCAAAGTCACTTACCTCTTAGAAACAGGATAGAACAGCTAACTAAGGATACAGCAACATATGTCCTCAAAACAAATAAATTCAACCTAAATTCCCTTCCAAAGGACGAATAAGACATCCCAAACAATAGCGTTAACCAACAACATTCTTCCGGTTTTACGTTCAGTTAATGATTGTGCCAAGTTCATTACAAAATAACCGAACGCAACGAAAACGCTTCCCAAATCATGTCAACAAATAACAGGAATTTTCAAAAGTTAGCGGACGAGCCCCCATTTGTCACGGCCGGCTCGCAAGCCGCGACAAAGGAGGAGATGACATGTTAAAATGGTATGCAAAAAGGAATAACATTTATTAAAGTAAAAGTAATAAAGTAAGAGAATAGAATAAGACGGGAACAAGACAATAACTAAGACAACAACAAAATGGCACGAGGGGAGAGCACCCTGTCACGACTGAAGGGAGCTGCTTTAGTTTGCCGGCATCAGCTCTAGCACAGGTGTAAACCATCAGTCATCATGACGTCACTCACTCCAACTCCAACCTACAAAACAAGTGACAAAGGACAACCGAACCCACACAATATGACCCACACTGGGGTCATAACAGTGTGATTGTGTAAAGGTGTTCACGAGATACCAACCTTTTGTGAACTTGTGAGGAGGGGAGGGTGTGTGTGTGTGTGTATGTGAGAGAGACGCATGAGAGACGGAGGGAGAGCAGGGAAAGGAACTGCAGCTGAACGAATACGGTGCGTGTTTTAAATAGCGGGGAAAAAAAGAATAACGAAATGCAATATGTGGCGGCCGGTGTTGATTCTGTGCCGCACCTCCACGAATTAATCTATGTGTGGGAAACAATCTATAAATGTTATATATATCATATCAACCAGCCCTAAAACTTTAATAGTTTTTTGTCAGTGTTTATTTAAAAACATCCAATTATGCAGAATACACGATGGTACATTTTTAATTGATGAGTTGTCAATAACATTTTTAACAATAGAATAATTTTTTTCCCGTCTTTTTCTCCCTCCCCCCTGTGAATAAGGTGGAAACAGGGAACTATTGGAGACAAAAGCCGCGTTTCCACCGCAATTACCAGGAACTATTTGTCCCAGGAACTTTTTTCATTGGAACTTTTTTTGCCCCAGACCGGTTGCTGACTGCGTTTACACCGTGGACTAAAGTACCGGGAAGATTATGTTGACGTTGAACTGCGTGCGACTGCTCCTCCCAGTCTGTGCGTTTGTTTTGAGTTTTAAGTATTGAGGAGATTCAAGCTGTGCTGCTTTTGTGTGCGATCTATTGGTTTAATAACGAGGTAATTAACAAAACAGTAGAAAAAAGACGAACGCTAATACCAAAGCGTATACAGAAAGCTCGTAATGCTAGATATAAAAGTAGACAACGTTTGTTATCAGCTATAGCGGACATGACCGTGAGATGGATGGGACGAACGCGCGCCATCCGGCAGAGAGAACAAGGTAAGAACCAATCAGCATGTTCAGCGCACAAGTCCCACCCCGAAAGTTCCTGAACTCTGAAAAAGTACTACCTCGCCAGCAGGGACTTTCTGGGGGGGGGGGATTTTTACCCGGAACTTCATTTAGACCCTGGTTCCTGCGGTGTAAACACACGGAGTACCATCCCAAAGTTCCTAGTTCCTGGGGAAAGTTCCTGCGGTGGAAACGCGGCTAAAGAGGCTTTTCAGCAGCTCAGTTAAACATGATGGTCCTGTTATTTCTCTCAGACGTTGGACAAGCATTAAACAAACCTTTTTGTAAATGCAACTGCATGGAAATTCCCTATATTTCTATCAGAAAATAGACATGTTCAATTAATTTAAATGTAAGTAAAGTAATTCAGTAACTTCTCTTTGAATTTGGCAGATCGGGTGTCCATCCCACAACAATTCACCAATAAATACTGGGAATTTTCCCATCATCCTACAAGAGAAGGACAAACTCCAGGAGTAGCAGCTGAAATCTGCGTGACTGTTAAAGATGGAGTTTATTAAAGAGGAGATTGAAGACATGAGTTATCCAGAACCATCCAGAATAAAACATGAAGATACTGAGGAACAAATAGGTTGGTGTCCATTCTTGATTCTTCATTGTTGATTGCTTTGGTAGCTGTGAAATAAGAAGCAGTATTTGAATGACATTTTTTATAGAAATGCTTATATAATTTTAATCAGCATCTTTTATGTTCTTTTAATCATAATCTTCTATGCTTTAAAGTCCCCGTGAACCGGAAGTTGCAAACGACTTTTCTCCAGTGTTGTGACGTATTTCCGAGAGAAACGGAATACTAAATGAGGCAAAATAGTGGGCGTGGCTTTTTTTCCAACTAGCACCTGATTGGATCTAGAAAAGTAGGTGTTTCGTTCAGAAATGGAGGCAGATCTTAACGCAAGTTTACAATCGGTTGTTGAGGATTACTCGCCGCCTGAAACACCGCCAGCAGTCCCCTTCCTGCAGCAGGAGGAGGATCATTTCGTCACGGGGGGAATCAGACCTTACATGTTTGAGCCGTTACATGCGGAGGGTTCGAATGGTCACCTGGACGTGGCGGCTCAGGAGCAAGTTCACACTCGCGAGCATCTCGATGTGTCCCAATGCCAACACTAACTGGAATTATAAAACAATTTTTATTTGCTATTACTGCTGCAACCTTAACCGTTATGATAGCTGCGTGTAACTCACTAACCCGTGAGTGCCACAACCAAAAATGCACCTCCTCGCCATCTCTCCTTTCACACGCTGTCAATGCTCGCAAACACACAGGCAGCCTGTCTGTCAGTTGGAGGGGCGTGGTTACGGATGTTAAGCAGACACCTAAACCGTCAAACCTACGTCATCAGGGAAGGTCCTCCAATGCAGAGGGGAGGGGAATTTTCAGATTTTGATTAAAGATTACGAAGCCAAAACATTTTTTTGTGTGGATTTACTTGCATGGATGAATTGTTCACCACAAAACGATCAATTTAGGCAAACAAAGTAAGTATGGTCAATTTTGAATTCATGGGGACTTTAACAGTTGTCAAACACATTAATGATCATGTTAACAAGAAAATGACAGAACAATCTTTGGCACATCAAATGTCTGATATCTGTTGCTTTCTGCTATTAAATCAGGGTTCACTTGAACTGATTCTAATTTTATGTTTATTTTAGATCGGATGGAAGTGAAAGAAGAAAGACAAGAACTGGAGGAATTTAAGGAGGAACATCATGACTTTAAATTTCAAGAATCAAAAGCCAAAAAGCTGCACACCTGCACTCGGTGTGGAAAGAGTTTCTGTCAAAAAGGAAACCTTAACACACACATGAGAATTCACACTGGAGAGAAACCGTATCCATGCTTTCAATGTGGAAAGAGTTTTTCTCAAGCATCAGGTCTCAGTATTCATCGGCAGGTTCACTCTGGAGGAAAACCATTTAACTGTGATCAGTGTGGTAAAGGTTTTAATTCACCATCAGATCTAAAACTACATCTGTTAGTTCATTCAGGTGAGAAGCCTTATGCATGTTCTCTCTGTGGAAAGAGTTATGCAAGGCTTAACAGTTGTAAACAGCACCAGAAAACACATAATGAAGTGAGAGATCATGTGTGTTGTGACTGTGGGAAGAGCTATACTACATCTGAATATCTTAAACAGCACCAAAGAATTCATACTGGAGAAAAACCTTACAAGTGCTCATATTGTGACAAGAGTTTCACTCATTCTGAATCTCTGAAATCACACGAGCGAGTTCATACTGGAGAGAAGCCGTACTACTGTACTGAGTGTGAGAAAAGTTTCAAAGATTCAACAGGTTTGAGACAACATCTGCTTATTCATTCTGGAGAAAAACCATTTAACTGTGATCAGTGTGGTAAAGTTTTTAATTCATCATTAAATCTGAAAAAACACCTCATAGTTCATTCAGATGAGAAGCCTTATGTGTGTTCTCTCTGTGGAAAGAGTTTTTCACGGCTGGAATGTTGTAAACGGCACCAGAAAACACATAATGAAGTGAAAGATCATGTGTGTTGTGACTGTGGGAAGAGCTTTACTAGAGCTGGTGAACTGAAACTGCACCAAAGAGTTCATACTGGAGAAAGACCTCACAAGTGCTCATATTGTGACAAGAGTTTCACTCAGTTGGGACAACTAAAATCACATGAGCGAGTTCATACTGGAGATAGACCTTACAAGTGCTCATATTGTGACAAGAGTTTCACTCAGTTGGGAACACTGAATTTACATAAGCGACTTCATACTGGAGAAAAACCTCACAAGTGCTCATATTGTGACAAGAGTTTCACTCAGTTGGGACAACTGAAATCACATGAGCGAGTTCATACTGGAGAGAAGCCGTACCACTGTACTGAGTGTGGAGAGAGTTTTAGACATTCATGTCGTTTTCTCAGTCACATGAAGAAATATCATAAGTTGTGACAGTGAGCAACATTTCATTTTCATATCAAATACTGTTAAGTAAATGTTTTGAGATGAACAAAATATGGAGTTGCTCCCAAAAGAACATTATCTAGTTTGACTTTGTGAATTTGGTGAAATGCTTAGATAACTAGAAAGACTTGTTTATATTGTGTTCTGATAGTACATGCAGTTATAGGAAATAAACAAACAAAAAATTGTCTTGAAAAAAAAACCTGTTGAATTGTGATTGTTTGAAATAAAAAATCAAGCGTAGTCAGATCTGGCGGGTCACGTTAGTCAAGCTCACGTCAGCTGATCCACGTCTACCTATAGGAATACGACGCTAATCACAGGCGTCGTATTCCTATAGGAATACGACCATATATATTGCTCCAGGTTCCATAAATATGGAATATATCCATATATATTGCTCCAGGTTCTGTTTTGTTTTCCCTATCATAAAAACGCAGTTATTGCTGCTCTCCCTGCTCTTATCCATGCTAGGCTCAGGGAGTTCTTGCCCAGAACAGAACCATACCGCCAATGCAAACTGTATGCTAATTGTCCATCGTATTTGTCGATAGTGGTCCTGACAGAACTTAATTTAATGTAAAAACTTTACTTCAGCGTAATTTCTGAAAAACACTTGAAGGTTTATACAGTTGAGAAGTCTGATATGTGTTTGTGGAAAGAGTTTTTCACTGTTGGACTCTAAACAGCACCACAAAATACAGACCATGAGAGAAATCATGTGTCTTTTGAACAGGGCCGGCCCTGTACATCTGGGGGGCCTAAGCAGGATACTTTTGGGGCCCTGCATTGTGGTGAATAGTGGAGTATTATACTATCTAACGCCGTCCTTCAATGCCTACCAGGTCCGGATTTGTTGCAGAACGGCTGCGGATTCATGTATGATCGCACAACATAACAATATGCGTAATAGAAGCTCTGCGTATCTGCTCCACAGGGCTGCGGATCCTACTTTGCTTCCTTCTAAAGTGATTAAAATGTATTCTGTGGATGTAGCAAAGAGATTAAAGATTCTACAAAAGATTCTCAGCTCGAGTTTGTATTTTTGTTTTTTACAAAATCACTGCAACACAATAACTTCAGTGAACAATCATTAGCCAAAAGTGCTAATAAAATGGTTAGTAATAAAATATATAAATACAGTAAACAACAAAACAAATAACAGCTTATACAATGCAATGAATGATACATAAATGAATAAATGAAAATAAATATTAAAGAAAAAAGGACACAAAAAAGTGTCTAAAACCCTAAAAAACACAAACTTTCACTACACCCTATCTTCTTTTTTATTCCCCTCAGTCCCCTGTTACTTCTAATGAGTTTTTTCTAACAGCATTTTGTAGAACACCAAACAGAACTCCAAATTTATTACTTTTAGTCAAAGATACTAGAAAAGGCAGTATCCTCACAACTATGTTCCTTTCTAGAAAGAAATGATATCTCAGAGGATTTTCAGTCAGGATTTAAACCGTACCATAGTACTGAGTCTGATCTCATCAGTCACAAATGATTTGCTCTTATCATCCGATCGTGGTTGTATTTCCGTATTAGTGTTACTCGATCTTAGTGCTGAATTTGATACCATTGGCCACAACATTCTTTAAAATAGACTTGAAAATTATGTTCGGCATTAGTGGAATTGCATTAGCATGGTTTAAATCATACTTACCACAAGGCTCAGTACTAGGACCGTTGCTGTTCACTCTGTACATGCTACCCTTAGTAGATATCATTAGGAAGCATGGCATTAGTTTTCACTCTTATGCTGATGATACTCAGCTCTATATTTCTTCACACCCTGACAAACTTACCAATTCACAAAATTAACGGAATGCATAGCTGATATAAAAAACTGGATGACTATTATTTTCCTACTACTTAATTCTGAAAAAAACAGAGATTCTAATTATTGGACAAAAAACTTCCTCACATACTAACCTAGAATAGTCTAACACTTTGTAACAGCCTGCAGTTACATTTGTCTTATTAACTCTCTGTACCGTGTCATATTTGGTTCTACCACTGGGGGGTACTCTAGTCAAGAGGGTTCCTAGTAGCATAAAAATGGTAGAAGAAGTAGAGTAGGGAAGGAAGGAAGGCCCTGTCCCAAATGGCGCACTTCATGCGGACTTTCGGTCTCGTGGACTTAAATCGCGCGTGCTCGCCGAGTCTACGAGTTCGTAGGCTGTCCCATTTAGCATTTTAACGCTCTGAAGTGTGCTCAGCAGCGCCCCCTTTGTACCCTTGTAGCGGTCTTCCGCGATGCCCGCATAGATGCAGGTTCCACGCACTTTACCTACCCAGGAATCCTTGCGAAAGGCCAATCAGACAACGGACGGGAGGAGATTTCGCTCACGGACAATTGTTAACATGGCTGAGAAGAAAATATTTAAGTGTAATTATCATTACGGTTTTTATGACAAGTTTATACAAACATTATGATCATCGACCAGTGGTTGATGTCTCAAACATAGGCTAATAATAGCGAGCTGAATAATACCATCGCATTATGATTCATTAAATAAATAGAACAGAATGTCAGGGCTTTACTGAGTCATATGTAAACACAACAACAATAGGCAGCATATTTCCCTGAACCTGTAGCTCCTGTCCATAATAACAATCAGACCGTCTTCCTGTTTCCGGCGTGACGATCGAGTCTGTCCCAAAAATACCTCTCAATGCGCCCTCGCGGACTCACGCTAAGGGCCCTATAGGTCTGCACTACATGACGTCACCGAAGTGTGGACTCTGAGGAAGTCCACAAGTCCGGAGTGTGCCATTTGGGACAGGGCCGATGTGTTATGCACATGGAGAAGCTTCCCTACCAGTGTGGTCGTGGTTTTCCCTGATTTGAGGAACCTGTTTTTCTTATGCTCAAATGTAAGTGTTCAGTTTGTACTTTGTTTGTATGTGTAATGTTAGGTAATGTGTTTTCAAATGAGATGTAAATGTGTTATGGTGGCACTAAGTTTGTTTGTTTGTTTGATGCAGAGGGTTCATCGTGCAGGCATGAGGCAGCAACTCAACTATAACTAAACCCTGTTACCATCTGCTGTTTGTGCCTTGAGCTATAGTTTGTTCCTAATATCAATCGCAGCTTGGACACTTGGATTCAGACCGTTGTGAACTCATCCGCTCTGCACTTAAGTACTGTTTCTTATTACTTGTGGGACTGTAGAGACTGAACTCTTGGCTACCAAAGACATTATTTGGAAGAGCTGAATTATTCTGATGTATTGCCTTGGAAATGAATGCCTCATATATTGTGTATGGTTACTGACTGTATGGTGATTTATGGTATAATACACATGGCTCATTGAAATGCGAAGTCTCTGGTCCCTCATTTTATTATGTAGCCTCCAAAGCTTTCTTGAAAGTAGATGTTACATTGCATTGATAGCAATGCATAGCATTGATGGCTGCTCTGTTAAGTCTTTGTCGTCGGTTAAGAACCTGGGTGTGCTCTTTGATAGCAATCATTCAGTTGAAAGTCACGTGTCTAGTATCTGTAAAACTGCATTTTTCCATCTTAAAAATATATCTAAATTACGTCATATGCTCTCAATGACAAATGCGGAACAGTTCATGACTTCAAGGCTAGATTATTGTAATGCTATTATGGGTGGTCGCCCTGCACGCTTAATAAACAAACTTCAGCTGGTCCAAAACGCAGCAGCTCGAGTTCTGACCAGAACCAGGAAGTATGACCATATTAGCCCGGTTCTGTCAACACTGCATTGGCTCCCTATTAAACATTGTATACATCTTTTAAAATATTGCTGATAACTTACAAAGCACTAAATGGTTTAGCTTGCCATTACTTGAGTGAGCTCTTAACACATAACAGTCCGTCACGTCTATTGTGATTTCAAAATTCCGGCCAGTTGATAATCCATAGAATATCAAAATCGACTGCTGGTAGATCCTTTTACTATTTAGCCCAAAAACTTTGGAACAGTCTTCCTAACATTGTCCGGTGAAGCAGACACACTCAAATCTCAGATCTAGAATAAAAACACATCTCTTTGACCTAGCATACACATAAAACATTATAGACTTCTTTAATTCAATGTTAGGCTACATATGGCGCTTTTCCATTACCAGTATCAGCTCGACTCGACTCGCCTTGGCTCGCCTCGACTCGGCTTGCTTTTCGCTCCGTTTTCCATTGCAGTAAGTACCGCCACAAATAGTACCCGGTCGTCATAGCGACGCATTTCGTTCCTCGTTGCCCCATCAAGCTCTCGCTGGATCCTCTCTTCGGCAACCAAACAAAGGAATGTCTGCACCTCCTCGTTTGACCACGGCGTATTCTTCCGAGTTACCATAATACTAGTAAGTAAGTTTAGTAACTATCTCTGGCCAAACTATTTAAAAATGGCGGGGTTATTCTGGATACTCCATCTGGCGCGTGCAATGATGACGCAGATTCTCTGTGACCAATCAGCAGTCGGCATTGTTTTCACGTCACATTTTAGTATCGGCTTAGCTCGCCTCAGCTCGCTTAGAACCTCGCCGGAGGTGGAACGAAAAAAAGTACCCGAAAGCAGGTACAGGTACAACTTTTACACAGTGGAAAACCAAACAAAGGCGAGTCGAGTCGAGCCGAGCCGAGCCGAGGCGAGCTGGTACTGTGTAGTGGAAAAGCGCCAATAGATTAGGTCAGCCGGAACCGGAAACACTCCCCATAAATCCTGATGTACTTATTACATCATAAGAAGGATGATGCGTCTACGCTAATATTAGTCTCTCTGTTTATCTCGAGGTTTACCGCAGTCCGTATCCAGATCTGATGAAGGACCTGTGCCTGGACGCGACGACAGTGCAGTCCGGAAGTGTCAATTAGTCTCTCCCCTGTGAAGGCCTCCTTCCCTTCCCTTCCCTTCCAGATAAAACGTTGTCGGCATAATTCCAGTTCACGTGGCTACGCGGAAGCGATAAAAAATTATGTTTTCTTTTTTAAGGCTTGTACCTTGGAACCTTTTTCATGG